GGGAGTGACAACTTGCTTGTCATTCTACTTGAAGTTCCCTTTCTTTCCCTTTGCCCTTTTCTTGAAACTAGTGATCTTGTAAATCATCAACACTTGATGCTCTTTTTTGATTTCTACCTTCGTCGATTTCAACATCACGAAGAGCTCGGGAATCGTTTTTGTCATCCCTTGCATACTATAGTTCATCACAAAGTTCTACTAACTTGGTTATGGTGACTAGAGAACTCTGCCAATCACTATCTTATCTGGAAGATTAACTCCCACTTGATTCAAGCGATTGTAGTACTCAGACAATCTAAGTACTTGCTCACTAGTTGAGCAATTCTCCTCCATCTTTTAGGCGAAGTATTTGTCAAAGGTCTCATACCTCTTGACACGGGCATGAGTCTGAAATACCAATTTCATCTCATGGAACATCTCATATGTTCCGTGATGTTTCAAAAACGGTTTTGTAGTCCCGGTTCTAAGCGATAAAGCATGGTGCACAAAACTATCAAGTAGTCATCATATTGAGCTAGCCAAACGTTCATAACGTCTGCATTTGCTCCTGCAATAGGTTTGTCACCTAGCGGTGCATCACGGACATAATTCTTCTATGCAGCAAGGAGGATAAACCTCAGATCACGGACCCAGTCCGCATCATTGCTACTAACATTTTTCAACTTAGTTTCTCTAGGAACACATATAGAAACACAGGGAAGCAAAAACATAGGGAAGCAACAACGCGAGCTATTGATCTACAACATAATTTGCAAAATACTACCAGGACTAAGTTCATGATAAATTAAAGTTCAATTAATCATATTACTTAAGAACTCCCACTTAGACAGACATCTCTCTAGTCATCTAAGTGATCACATGATCCAAATCAACTAAACGATGTCCGATCATCACGTGAGATGGAGTAGTTTTCAATGGTGAACATCACTATGTTGATCATATCTACTATATGATTCACGCTCGACCTTTCTGTATATGCTAGGCTCGTCAAGTTTATCCTGAGTATTTCGCGTGTGCAACTGTTTTGCACCCGTTGTATTTGAACGTAGAGCTTATCACACCCGATCATCACGTGGTGTCTTAGCACGAAGAACTTTCACAATGGTGCATACTCAGGCAGAACACTTCTTGATAATTTAGTGAGAGATCGTCTTAAAATGCTACCGTCAATCAAAGCAAGATAAGATGCATAAAGGATAAACATCACATGCAATCAATATAAGTGATATGATATGGCCATCATCATCTTGTCCTTGTGATCTCAATCTCCGAAGCACCATCGTGATCACCATCGTCACCGGCGCGACACCTTGATCTTCATCGTAGCATCGTTGTCGTTACGCCATCTATTGCTTCTACGACTACCGCTACCGCTTAGTGATAAAGTAAAGCAATTACAGGCGTTTGCATTTCATACAATAAAGAGACAACCATATGGCTCCTGCCAGTTGCCGATAACTTCGGTTACAAAACATGATCATCTCATACAATAAAATATAGCATCACGTCTTGACCATATCACATCACAACATGCCCTGCAAAAACAAGTTAGACGTCCTCTACTTTGTTGTTGCAAATTTTATGTGGCTGTTACGGGGTGAGCAAGAATCGTTCTTACCTACGCATCAAAACCACAACGATAGTTCGTCAAGTTAGTGTTGTTTTAACCTTCGCAAGGACCGGGCGTAGCCACACTCGGTTCAACTAAAATTGGAGAAACAAACACCCGCTAGTCACCTGTGTGCGAAGCATGGCGGTAAAACCAGTCTCGCGTAAGCGTACACGTAATGTCGGTCCGGGCCGCTTCATCCAACAATACCGCTGAACCAAAGTATGACATGCTGGTAAGCAGTATAACTTGTATCGCCCACAACTCACTTGTGTTCTACTTGGGCAAATAACATCAACGCATAAACCTGGCTCTAATACCACTATTGGGTAACGTAGTAATTTCAAAAAAATTCCTATGCACACGCAAGATCATGGTGTCCACGTACCCTCGTAGACCGTAAGCGGAAGCGTTATGACAACGCGGTTGATGTAGTCATACGTCTTCACGATCCGACCGATCCAAGCACCGAACGTACGGCACCTCCGAGTTTAGCACACGTTCAGCTCGATGACGATCCCCGGACTCCGATCCAGTAGGGTGTCGGGGATGAGTTCTGTCAGCACGACGGCATGGTGACGATGATGATGTTCTACCGACGCAAGGCTTCGCCTAAACACTGCACCGATATGACCGAGGTGGAATATGGTGGAGGGGGGCACCGCACACGGCTAAGGAACGATCACAAAGATCAACTTGTGTCTAGAGGTGCCCCCCTGCCCCCGTATATAAAGGAGGGAGGGGGGAGGTGCGGCCGGCCCCCTAGGGGTGCGCCTGGAAGAGTCCTACTCCCACCGGGAGTAGGACTCCCCCCTCTTGCCTTGGTGGAGAAGGAAAGGGGGGAGGGGAAAGAGGAAAGGGGGGGCGCCGCCCCACCCCCCCTCCTTGTCCTATTCGGACTAGGGGGGAAGGGGGCGCGTGGCCTGCCCTGGCCGGCCCTCCTCTTCTCCCTCATGGCCCATGTAGGCCCATTAACCCCCGGGGGGGGTTCCGGTACTCCGGAAAAATCCCGATTTCTCCCGGAACGATTCCGTTATCCAAATATAGGCTTCCAATATATCAATCTTTATGTCTCGGCCATTTCGACGCTCCTCGTCATGTTCGTCATCACATCCGAGACTCCGAACAACCTTCGGTACATCAAAACATATAAACTCATAATAAAACTGTCATCGTAACTTTAAGCGCGCGGACCCTACGGGTTCGAGAACTATGTAGACATGACCTAGAACTGTTTCCGGTCAAAAACCAATAGCGGAACCTAGATGCTCATATTGGCTCCTACATATTCCACGAAGATCTTTATCGGTCAAACCGCATAACAACATACGTTGTTCCCTTTGTCATCGGTATGTTACTTGCCCGAGATTCGATCGTCGGTATCCAATACCTAGTTCAATCTCATTACTGGCAAGTCTCTTTACTCGTTACGTAATGCATCATTCCGTAACTAACTCATTAGCTACATTGCTTTCAAGGCTTATAGTGATGTGCATTACCGAGAGGGCCCAGAGATACCTCTCCGACAATAGGAGTGACAAATCCTAATCTCGAAATACGCCAACCCAACATATACCTTCGGAGACACCTTTAGAGCTCCTTTATAATCACCCAGTTACGTTGTGACGTTTGGTAGAACACAAAGTGTTCCTCCGGTAAATGGGAGTTGCATAATCTCATAGTCATAGGAACATGTATAAGTCATGAAGAAAGCAATAGCAACATACTAAACGATCAAGTGCTAAGCTAACGGAATGGGTCATGTCAATCACATCATTCTCCTAATGATGTGATCCCGTTAATCAAATGACAACTCATTTGTCCATGGCTAGGAAACATAACCATCTTTGATAAATGAGCTAGTCAAGTAGAGGCATACTAGTGACACTATGTTTGTCTATGTATTCACACATGTATTATGTTTCCAGTTAATACAATTCTAACATGAATAATAAACATTTATCATGATATAAGGAAATAAATAATAACTTTATTATTGCCTCTAGGGCATATTTCCTTCAATTTCCTGGTTGATGTTCTCCCTTTTGATGGTGGAGAGATCTGGATATGTTGCGTTCTGATGGTAAGGAAAAAAATCATGAATTTCTTTTCCCAACTGGCGAGGGCAGCATGGAGGTCCTCCATGTGGTTGATCGTCGTGGCTCCGAGTACCAGATGTAATAGGGTTTGAGGGGGCAGGGACGGCGGCACAAGGGAGGAGAGAGAGGAGGCGGTGCGCGAGAGAGCTTGAGAGCGAGGGGTCAGAGTCTTTCGACTTCTTTTTTTCTTAAAGATCAAACAATTACATGGCCCATATTATTTACAGTCCTAGGAGACTTAGCCCCTAAGCAGCCTCGGATATCCTTATAGGATTTTGATTCGCCTTCTTAACAAAACAAACTCAATCTCCTAACTCTTTCCTAATCTAACAAACTCGATAAGACAGCTTCACGGCGGCGGCGGCGACACTGATGGCGCCCTGCCGGCCCTCCTGGGCCCTTGCTTGATCGTGCGTATGACAAAGGGCTTTGCCAAATTTATTAATAAAAAGAGAGAGAAAAGCTATATCATGATCAAGAGGTGTCATGTACATATTCTAAAATCATGTGAGGTTGTCATGTACTCACGTGAGGCTATATATCCACACTATGAGTTATGTGCTAAAATTTAATGCTATTAAAAATAATTCATATATGAGCTTTTTGAGTGTGCCAGACACGTTAATGCGCTACTATATCTCTTGTGGTACACAACGTGCATAGATGTAGCCATGTGGAAGAAGAGGAAGACGAAGCTGCCTGGAGTTATAGAGAGAAGCCCCGACCATAGCGCAGGAGACGCACAATGAGACACTTGGCGTGTCTGCGTATTTTGGGCTAGTTCTATTACAGTGGGACACACACGATGCTGAATGTTGGAGCAGAAACCATGAGATGAGACTGGCGGGTATAGGCAACAGGGCGGTGGTGGTCCGCCGAAACTGTGCAAGACGGCGTAGCACTGTTGGCGCCACCATATACCTAATAAACAGCAACAGGGACGCTTGGGAAGACGCGGATCGGCGGATGCTATATGGATATGGAAATACATGAACGTGATTATTCATTCTACTTTACCATCGATACGATCTGTTTTATTCTGAAGAAAACAATCTCTGAAAAGTGAAAACATCGTTGAACATTGCAAAGGAAAAAAGAAAAAGAAAGATGTTACACGACCCATTTGATTATAAAAGATCACAATGCAGTAGGCATAGACAAGAGGGACACATCCTTGTTAGCTAGCCATCTTATTGCTACAACAGCGGGAACGGGAAGAAATCAAACACTCTGATGACTAAAAGGAACATGCAGGAAGCTGCAGGCTGCAACAGGGTCGAATGCTGAATGATTTAGATGGTGTAAACACCAATCGAAGTGACGAAAATGTTATCAGTGTTTGCGAAGAAGCCCACCACGGTCTCGTCCTCCGGCACGGTATAGCTGAAATGTGGAGCGCCGTTGTCACTTCCAAAAGGACCATACGTTTTGTGGGTGGTGACGATCTCAAATTTTGACAGCCAGCCCTCGCCTCCTCTCTGAGCCCCATTGATCTTCTTCACAAACTCTGATGGGCCAAACTTGGACTCGGCTCCCCTGACGTACTGCAGGGTGCAGTTGGGTCACTGACAGGTGGGCCAACTTGCTATCGGGCCCACCTGTCAGTGGCCCAACTGCACCCTGCAGTACGTCAGAGGAGCCGTACCCGCCAAACTTTATCTGTAGAACAGCACATAATTAGTTAAGAGGAATAAATGATGTATCATCAAGTATTTATTAGTTACGTGGC